TACTGAGTTTTCCTGCAACTCGGTATATAAAGCACCGATCAGAATTTTTACGTATGTTGCCTAAATGTATCCTCAAGTACGACGGGCAAACAAGTTACGTCGTCCCGAACCAATATTTCATGATTCCAAAGGAGACATTATATATATATATATATATATATATATATTGCGACCTCCTGATACTAATAGCCGGAGTCAATTGCGAGTTAACGGCACTATCAGTTTTCGAACAACGTTGCCTACACAGTATTGCACGAATCTGGAGGAGGGGGGATTCTATAGGTAATACTGAGGTTAGGCGAAGAGTTTTAGGTAACCGCGGTCGACCACTAGAACAAGTGGTCGACCTTCATATATTATGCTGGTTTAGGACGTGTATTGCACATGTCACCTAGTAGGTTGCCACGGCGAGCGAAATCTGCGGAGGTAAGTAATGGATAAAAAACATAAAAGGCGATTAAACTAAGACCTGGCATGAGAATATGAAAACTCTAACCAGGATACTAGGTCACATATGTACCATTAGGCTCCCTGGATGGGGACCCCGAGATCATGGTTATCGGACATTAGGGACACTGAGTGATATGGCTGTATCGCAAACAGTGACGCTCGTGTATCTACTCAACTTTCAACCCGTTTATATGAATTCTCTATCTTCCGCTTGATTTTGCTCTCAACATTCCAATCTTCATTCTGCTCTTTTATCCTAACGGGCAGTTAAAAGATAGCAACCAAAACCGGAGTATAAAGGTGCATGGTTGTAAAAAACTGAAACTATTTCCAGTAAACAGCTGAACTACAACAAACTAGTTTTAAAACAACAATAACGTAAGGCCATATAAAATCATCGGACGAAATGTAAAATTGTATTGCATTGATGCAATAAGATGATAAATCAGAACTTCTATTCCAAAAAATTATCCAATTCCGCACCTATCTGTCTGTTACGAATTGCCTTCAATTGATGGGAAAGCAAAGTAGACACCACGAAACACGCGTCCCTCTCTCAAACTGAACACAAGGCGCGGCAAAAGACTTTCAACTGAAACATGTGAAGCAATCGAACACGGAATCACGTGAATCAACGCATACTGTGTGCCGAAACCAACATCCTGATCAGATGAGGAAAGGTGTTAAATAGAATAGAATTGACGAAAATTCAACGATGTGCACAATGAAAATTGAGTAGGGAAGAAAGCAGTTTGAACCAGAAAAATGAAAATCAGCTTTTTAGACAGAAAAATATATTGAGGCACAGGTTATCTACAGCCCGGAACAGAAATCAATTCAATCGTTTGGTTTCAAGGTTTACTCCAAAGTGTGCGATTGGATTGATTCATCCTCACTTAGAACCTGAAAGTGTGAATGCAGTGTGGCACGCGTCGGAATTAAAATGCATCATTTGGAATGATCAGTCAGAAAAATAAGCAGTGCAGTTGCCACATCCGGTATGTGCTTGGCACCTTCAAAGTGCAAAGTGATGCTGCAGGACTGGGTGTCGCCTAGCCCCGCTCTGAAACTAAATGGTCAGGAATAAGTTTCAGTGGATTGCTTTTCCTAGATAGATAGCTGCGTGACCAATGACGGTAGCGCAGCAAAGGAGATAACCACCCGCATTCTCAAGGCTCGAGCAGCATATGCAGTACCTTTGGCGTAGATGCGACGTTTCACTGAGGTTAAAAGGTCGTGTATATTGTGCTAGCGTTCGTTCAGTCCTGCTTTATGGTTGTGAGACCTTGAATTTGCGAGTATAAGATATCCGTCGACTAGAAGTTTTCGATTATCGGTGTTTACCTAGTTTAGCCCCATGTGGGATGGAGCGAACGGGTTAGTAACGTGGAAGTAAGTCGCCGTGTGTTTGGGAGTCTATCGGGTATAAACCTGCTGGCACACCGAATTCAGTAAACTTCGGTGGCCGGGGAACGTATTGCCTATGCCCAGCCACCGCGCTCTATTCGCTGCAGCAGCCCCGGGATGGAGGAAACCACATGGAGGTCAACATATGACGTGGAAACGAGGTATGAAGAAATGCACAGAGCCATTAGGTAGAGAAAGTGTCTCTCGCCTTCCAGGTTGGGGTCCGAAAGATGCCACAACCGGTCGGTTGGAGACATTAAAGGATATGGCAGCCAAACGACAGCAGTGGCTTTCCTGTTGTCATTTCTTATCAGGCCGGAACGCTCGAAACGGTATGAATGCATAGTTCGATTGTGCACTGTGTGTTGACCACAGCGGTTCACCTTCTTCTCCTTCTGTCAGAATAGATCCAATCTCTGCCCACCTTAAATTTTACTACTAACCTTGTATGCATTGCGATCAGTAAAGTTCGCTTCACTGTGTTTTACTGTACGATGATGATGAAATAAACAGGGGAACGGAGTGAATGTGGTAGAATGAAGTACAGAAGATGGACAAAGAAAAGGACAGTAGTAGAATTATTAAACTGTGCACAATCGGTTATTTTAGATAACGGTAATAACCAACTCCCATACCTGTTCGTCGAGCAGCATAACTAATTGTAAAAAAATTCATACGGATACGACCCCTAGTAGGCATGACAAGAGATTTGTTTAAGTGATAAACTGTAAATTCAGAAACTTTTCTATTTAAAAAACTGACCTATTAAGTGAATAATGACTTAAGAGGAAAATTGTATTTCTACTCAGAGCAATGTCTAAAACCAATCACACTTAACCTGTTCGATCCGTCACGTTAGAACTAGGTGTATGTACGTATGCCTCAGAAAGCTTCAGTATGATCGCGGGTGGGTGTCTCGAGTTGCGGCTGGTTACCCCTCGATTGCACCTCGCGAAACGCTCCCGTACGACCAAGCGTCTCAAGCAGCTTCCGTTAAGGAAACCCTATACACTGTCATCTCGTGGGGTGGAGGCCTTTTCCCCCACCAATCTAAGGGGACGAAAAGCCAATATCAGGCAGCTATAACCTGGATAGGTGAACCACTGGCAATTCACCCAGGGGAGTTGGCTAAAAACCCTGATTCCAAACCAACCAAGAAGTGGTGTACGAACCACACACTCACTCCTTCCTGGTTGCGGCAGTGGTCTCCGGCTCAATTGGGCACCTTGAACATTTGGCTATATCCAATGGGCGCATGTTCCGATGAAGTGGACACCGGCCCCCCAATGGACTGCGATTTCCGCACACCGTCCCGCTGCCTTGCGAGTCAGGCTTTGGTTGTGAACTGTCTAAGAAGACTCACGTGCTTTGGCCTGAGCAACCAAGCAGTATCGTGCCCTCAAGCAAGATCATTGAACTGTAACTTGTACGGCACACAGTCTGGATTTGGACGCGTGTGTAATACACAAAATACCTATTGTACACTAGTCTGTGTCTAGCCATGATGAAAATGTCTGTATAGTAAACAGTTAAGGTCTCATCCACGAGCACAATACGGCCGGGGTACCCGGTTGACCGAAACCGGATACCCGAAATAGTGGAGCGGTATGAAGTTCACAGTCACCTTTTTGCAACGGGGACGGTGTCCAGTCACCCGAATTTGACATTCTTGAGGCACGATTCACAGGTGCAAGATGCACAATATAGTCTAGCGTCTAACGAAGCCGATGACCAGATCCGTTTAGTACGCCTGCTGGCTAGTAGGCCCCTCATCTTACCTAAATGAGCCAACTGCTTGAGGCTCATCAGCCCGACTGTAACCCGGAAGGATCAGTACTGTCGGTTCAATAACTGTTATCAGCTTCATGACCTAAGAGAAATTTCAACTTGTCCAGTATACAGTACTAGTATTATGGTTAGCATACTACATAATAACCACTTCACAGGATCTAATAATCGTTCATAAGGGTGAATCCATGAGACGAAGAAAATAGATGATCATAGAATCAGATTGACACGCATCGAAAGACAATCAATCCAGCACCATTTGATCACAGCCAGGCTTGGATTATACGAGACCGAATACAGAAGGCAATATGAGTTATATTGTGAGTAGTGTACAATGTACAATACACGAAAGGTGTATGGTAGTGAGTCAACGTTGATGGGCAGGTGACACGCATGATCGGATGGGCGTGTGTGTGTGTGTGAACACAAGGAATGAACTTGGTAAAAACAGAATCAGTTTCAGCCAAACAGATCACCCACGGTTGGCAAAGGATCCAGGTTAGCAGTCATATCCGGCAAAAGATTTAAATCGGGCAAGCTGGACAGATGATTGTGTAATTCTTTTCTTAAGGCATCACCGTGTTCCAAATTTTTTTTCAAAGTCTGGAGAGGGGCGGCGGGGTAGAACAGATGTGAAAAGAAAGCGAATATTTTAGAAAACCACTGATTGGGGGGGGGGGAATCATCGTGATCCATGATCAAACAGAACCATACAACGAAATAGGAAATCTAACCAAATTCTCTCTCTCTAGGTTCGTACCCGGAAGCTCGGAGATATGGATACTGTGTTTTCTAGTTGATAGCTGACCGTAAGAATTGAACATTGGCAATCAACTTGATACAGTGCCTGACGCAAATGGATAGTATACGGCTAATGAAGTGCAGGAACGGCACCGTACTCGTCACACGGCTTTAAAACTAAATGTTGCATGCTTTCTACACTTCACTGAGGCCAGCGGTCTAATCCAATTCCACTCACACTACCGGTTGGAAAGTTGATATATATATATATATATATATATATATATATATATATATATATATCCACAACCGTTAAACTCCATATCCTGTGCCAAGCAAATCGCACTTCAAACGCCACACACGAAAATGACGCAATATAAAATGTGATGTACGGCCCAAATGGTTAATAACCAAAATCCATCCTTCCCCCCCCCCAAACATTCCCCGTCTAAACTGATTGAGCCATTCACACAAGGTGATGACCGTGGGCCGCGTAGCTCAGGGGTAAAGGTTTGAAGTCTCAACCCGAAGGTTCGAGTCCTGATACGGGCACAAAAAGTTCGCACTGCTGACGAGTCCCTAACAGGACGAAATAGCTGCTGTGCGGTGTTCTTCGGCAGTCATCGCAAACATTTCCATCACATTTAAATGCGTTTATCTCGCGGGGAATTAACGGTCTCCCAAGGAGTGGGACCCACATCCACGATCACCAACAGTGCCTGGTGCCTGTGAAAAAACCGAATGTGCTAATCCGAACATTCCCAGTCTATAATGAATCATCTTTCGAAAAGTAAAAATTACATTTACATCGGAACCAGTGCAGCTGTTATTGCATGAAAATCGAGCAAAGTGAAAGATGAATCAAGGGAAACTTGAATCGCATACCTCGTAGCCGAAATCGAAATCGCAACTTGCCTTTAGAATAAAAACGGGTAAAGTTATGGACACATTTGAGACGAAAATGAACTAATCTGAGCGCGCTAAACTGCTTACTTACCTCCATTTCCGATTCAGCTTCCTTGATACGATCCTTGAGTCGCATCTGATACGCGCGCAGTTTTAGCGCGAGCTGATGCCGCCGGTTGGATTCTTCCTCGAGAAGACCGTTATATCGTCCTAGCTGTTCGGAACAGCTTGAAATGCGGGAAGCCAGGGCCAGTTTTTCTGTGTCGCTTGCTGGGGGTTGGGTAAGCAGTGTGCACCTCATTGTTAACAAAGGCGAAAGATTCCGTGCAGTTCTTCGAGAGGCATTCATCTGTAAAACTTGTCTAACTACGAGCTGGATTGGTTGTTTTGTCCACAAAATATAATCCGGATAAACTTTGTCTATCTTTATGCAGCCGTAAACGTTGGGTATGTTTTTTCATGGCAGTTGCCACGTATCAAAGTTGAACACTTAAATGGTACGATATGTTCTCAACATTACCCGTCATCCGATGTCAAAACAAGGATAAGTTGCCTACGTTGACCTTGCTCATTTACCAATTCAAGTGCACCTTTGGTGTCACTTATGTAGGCCGTACGACAAGGCAGCTATCTAAGCGCATCAAGGAACATCAACCCGCTTGGCTTAGATACGGAGGAATCGGAGTTATTTCCAGTTTCATTGCTGCACACTTGGTTGGATACTAATTCGGCTTTCACCATCATTTATCGCGTCCCACAACACAAATCGAAGGCTGTTCGAATTGAAACGTTGGCAACAGCCGAGGCAATTATCATTCGTTTGTCGACGCCAGAATTGTGTGCTCAAAAAACACTTGTTCAGACACTTAAACTCCCCTGGCCCAAAGCGGACATCACGCATGAACGTTGCGATGACCCAAATCAATTATCAACGCTTATGTAACGTGTTCTTTTGNCTCCTTTGCTATGATTATTTGACCTTGACTGTTTGACCCCAACGCAACACTTTCCCGTAATTTTGTCACATAAATGTGATTGTACTGGCTTGATAAGGAACTCACCGAAAACATATGTTCGCCTGCAACCTGTGTTCTGATTCCAATGTATTCATTAATGGTAATACACTGTGTAATTCTTCTCGCTTCCCTACCAAATAGTTCCACCTGTGTGGTCTCAAACAGAACCACGTGTGCTCAGAATAACCGAATGCATGGTACGAAACAGTATACAGAAATTTCAGAACTTGACTGTGCTTTATGATAATTAAAGCAGAACATTCAAAAAAGGGAGGTGATACAAGTATAAGACTCCTTTTTG